CCCTTCCTTCCTCTCTTCTCATACCTTTAGGAAAGAACTTGACACTCTTCCCACTTAACCATCACCACTAACTCATTTCAGAGATTCAACCCTTTACTGCAGGGAAGTCTTAGGCGGTAGAGAGCAGTGGTTAAGAGAACAGACTGTGGAGCCAGACGGCCTGAGTGGCTGAACTCAGCAGCTCTTTGTATCTATATGACTCAGTTCTCTCACCTGTAAAATGGGGTTTTAACATCCTCATAAGATTGTTCTGACATCAAGAGAGTTAATATATGTAACGTAGTGGCTTATATATGCTAAGTACTCTTAGAGACCTTTGCTATTTTTATTGTGTCCAACGTGCTACAGCAGACCACTATTTTATTCTGAACTTTACATCAGTTCATTTATAACAGTAATAATAAAATAACTGACATTTATTGAAGGCTTACTAATGTGCCAGACATTGCAAAGATTGTAATGATTTTGCATAACTTATATCATTTAACTTCGTTCTCTGAGGTCAGGGAAGAGTATACCAAGTAGAGGAAGGGTAGTGATTATGATTATTGTCTTTGTTTAAGTAGTTGGCTTTGTGAAGTAAGGACATGACTCTCTGGTTCACTGTTAGTCACCAGCACCTGTTTCAAAGCATGCAATTTGGGGTTAACAAATGTATGAATACTCCGATATGGAAAGGTTATCTTCTGAAACAGGGATTTGAGTTATACTATGTGACAAAAAATTAAATGATTTTCATTTGCATAAGAACTTTGTAAATATTATGTTGTCTAACAAAAACATGGGCTCAGTGGAAAAGCCATGAGTGCCTCCTCATGTTAGAAAGTGCTTCACTCATGATAGTATGAAACAGGGGTGTTTCAGAGGGGATTCATACCCTAAGCAGAAGGTAGTTTTTGATGAATGCCTAGACTCACATAGCTCTGTGAAGGCTTATGCCATTACATTTTATTCTCTCTTTCCTCATCATATACACGATGATGGATGCACATGAGAAAGGGCTCTCCCCACACTTTTTTTTCCACAAATTTATTTATTTATTCAATTATTTAATTCTTGGCTGCATTGGGTCTTTGCTGCTGCACGTAGGTTTTCTTTAGTTGCTGAGAGCTGGGGTTACTCTTTGTTGCGGTGCACGGGCTTCTCATTGCGGTGACTTCTCTTGTTGTGGAGCATGGGCTCTAGGCGCGCTGGCTTCGGTAGTTGTGGCTCATGGGCTGCAGAGCACAGGCTTAGTAGTTGTGGCACATGGGCTTAGTTGCTCCGCGGCATGTGGGATCTTCCCGGACCAGGGCTGGAACCTGTGTCCCCTGCATTGGCAGGAGGATTCTTAACCACTGCACCACCAGGGAAGTCCTCCCCACACTTCTTGATTGGATGAATCAAACTATCAAGGGGATGTCTTGAGGCAAATTGGGAAAAAGAGCTAGAAAGGGTTCCAAGTGAAGTGAAAACCAAAATATTCTCTCCCCATTCAGGGCTCCAGCAGATGGGAATTTAGGGCTTTGTGAAGCCTGGCTGAAAATCAGGAGCCCCATAGGACATGCATAGGAAAGAGACCCAGTGCCCACATGGAGCTGGTTTCCTTCATGTGACAGGGAGCCCCCTGCTCCAAACCTCCAGAGCCCTTCTCTTCAAACTGTCCTATCAGAATATCCTCACCTCCATCCAGAAACTGTTCTTCCCAGTCTGTGCCCCTCTTAGTTGAAGGAGTTTCCCATGAGGAGACCCTCCCAGCACCCAGAGACTGGTCCTCAGCTTCTTACTCTCAGTTTTCCGAATCCAGTTGCCCAGGGTTCCTTCCTTGGCTCCTGCTGTTGACCTTGACCCTCCCTCCTCCCCCTGAACCCTGCTGAGATGATCCATTGGATGAGTATGGCTCCTTCAAGAAATACTTCACTTGTTAATGGCTTATCCCCAAATCTCATTCTAAATATCCAACATCACTATAAGTAAGAGAGGATGAAGAGGAATATGGGGGAATAAGGAGAGAGAGAGTGAGTAGGAGAGTGTGGGAGAAGCTGGACAGGATTAATGGATGATAAAATCTACTACTATATTTTGAGAACTTTTCTAAAGTCTAATTAAACAAGCTACTGCTTCACAGACAGTGTGTCATATTTCTTTCCAACCTCATACTAACTCCATAAGATGGATACAATTATTATTCCTGTTTTTAGATGACAAGACTAAGCTCAGAGGAATCAAAGAATTTGCCTAAGGTCAGACATGTAAGAGACAATGCTAGTCCTTGGACCCAAAGTCAGAAACTGGATCTACTGCTCACAAGCCCTTTGCTGCACTGTTGAGGAACATTAGATGGATAGGCCTAGGAAAGCAGGGCCTGGGGCTCTGGTTGAAGGAGGCAGGCATGGAGAGGTCCATGACTATAACTTTGGGAGCAGGAGTTTCTTAGGGCTTGAACTTCAGCGAACCTTGACTCAGCAAACCCGAGGTCCCCATGGGGACCCTGGGAGCTGGGGTGCAAGATGTGTCTATCAGAGATCACAGAGAGGGCAGGGCCGAGGCTAGCTGCCAGCTATCAGAGTCCAGAAAGGCTACAGGTCTGTGGGCTCAGATAGGTGGTTAGGGCAGGTTGGCGGCTCCGGGTGGAGCCATGAGTCTCAGGGCAGATAGACTGAGTACAGAAGTGAGCACAGGAAAGGGGAGGGAGGCACAGCATAGCAGCAATTTACATTTTACCACCAAGTGAGACTCCCCATCCCCTCAACTAGGGGCAAAGAACTTAGTGCTGACATCTGTAAAATAAGAGTAATAATTACATCTATCTTATGGGGCTATGGAGGATCAAAAGAGATGCACACTATCTGGACCAGTAACAGCAATTCAGGCCAGAGCTATGGGTTCCCTAGGGACCAGACGTCTCAAAGCAGCAGGTAAGTTCTAGAAAATAACACCAATCACTCTTAAATATGTAGAGACTCTCAAAGCCCAATATATCATTTAACAATGGCCTGAGATGTCGTGTGAGAGGAGCCTTCCCCTCCCTCAGGAGGGCTATCTTCCCAGGTACTGTGGTCAAAGTCCAGAGCTTAGCTTTAAGGCTGAAACACCTGAAGCCACAGGTGCAGATGAAGGCAGATGACAGCAAGTTTGCACTTTAAGAAAACCTCACTTCACAAAGAGCACGTACAATCCTAGATTCTGAAGCATAAGAGATCCACTAAGAATCTGAGCAGAAGTTGAACAGGAAACAAGATGATTAAGGAACTAGAGACCACAAGAAAAATATTTGAAAAAAACAGAGGAGATTTAGACTAGAGAAAAGTTAAAAGAGGATGGGAATTAATACTTACTGAAATCTTTCTATATGTCAGGTACCATTCTAGGGTATTTAAATAGTCTCATTTAATACGGTAGTTCTGTGAAGTATATATCATGAAACATGCTGTAATTCATGCTAATGATAAGTGATGTTTCTTGAGTATTTAGTATATACTAAGATATAATTTAAGTTCATTATATGAATTAGTTTATCCTCATACCAATATTCAGAAGTCCATTAATGTTTCTCAACTGATGAGGAAACCAAGGTGCAGAAAATGTAAGACAATTTCTTGAATAAGTAGCCGATTTGCAATCTAAACCCAGGTGGTCCAGCCTCTCCTACTGTCTACATTACACTGTCTCTTTTTAAGTGTGGGGGACTTGAGGGTCAAAGAGATGAAATAACCTGTCCAAACTCATAGAGCTAGTAAGTAGTAAGGTTAAGATGTAGGCCCAGTTCTGCTGCTGCTAAAGACTGTGCTCTTCCTACAACAAAACACCAACACGGACATCTACTGTGGACCCAAGAAATAGAAGATTAAACTGCCCCTATTCCCCACTTTTATACCTTGGATATTAGAGATTAGGGTTCAAGTCATAATTGCAGACCATACGTCCTCAACATGGGTGTGTCTCTGTAAGAAAGTCTGAAAGAGAATGAATTAAAGAAAAAAATTGGAAACAAGTTCAGAATAAAAAGAGGCTCTAGCTTGGACTATAGAGATTGTTGGATTGTAGGTTATGTATAGGTCCCCGAGAACACTGGAGGTCTATAGTGGCCCAAATGACCTCTTGACCCTTGGCCAAGTCACAAGTTTGGTTAAGGAAGAGAGTGTATTATATTCTTTAGTTATTCTCCAGACCTAGCCGCCTGCTTCTCTCTTTACCCTGCACTGGCTTAGAAACTCACTGCACCTAAAACATATGCGTATCTATTTATTTAGGTCTGTGTGACATCTTAGTTAGTGCCAAGCACTGAGGACACTAAACCATGCCATGGGCAGTGCTGTGGTGATGAGTTAAGAATATAAAAAATGAGAAGAAGTTCTGCAAGTTCCCTGCACCTCCCTTTGCAGAGCTTGACAATGAGAGTCCTCACAAATGTTACCAGTGCAGGACCCTGATTTATAAGTTAACTTCTCCAAGATCAGTTTGGATTTCATGCTGTCTTTCTCCTCTGCAAGGAGAATAGAAGACAGATAATTAACTTGGCTATCGTAATCACTTTGCTATGTATATGTATTTCAAATCATCATGTTATACACTTTACACATGTATGATTTTTATTTAAAAAAGAAAAAAATAAAAAAGAAATGATTCAAAATATCTGTATTTCCAATCATCCTTTGGACATAAGATGTGACTCTAATAGTTATATGTAAATACTTATTATAATAATATAACAACAGATAATACTTAGTGAGCATATATTGTATCTCTATCTCTTTACATAATAAACTAAATTAATTGTCATGATTTATACTATGAGCTAAGTCATGTTACCGTCCTATATTTCAAAGACATGGAGACATTTAGAAACTTGCCCAAGGTTACATAAGAAGTAGGTGGTGTTGGGATCACGGAGCCTCTCTCAATTCCTCATGGCAACATTTGGCTAAAGCATTGTCAGCCCTATTTGATCAGGAACGGGCTTGTATTCATTGAAGACCCTGACGCCCTATTCCTTTCTGTGATTTTCCTGACCTCAATAGACTTACAAAACCTCTGATGTAGAAGAGAGGAGGAGTGAGTGATGAGTGATGGTGTGGTGGAGTGTGGCGAGTGATGAAGTCTCTTTCTGTGACCATGCACCAGGGGGGCTCCTCTCTAAGGCTAAATCACTTTGTCTCACTGCATTCTAGCTAGTCCTATACACCTTGCCTAAAGAGCATTGGAGAACAGGTATTCTCCATTATGAAAAATCCATTCATCTCTCAAGACCCAGCTTACATTTCTTTAATCCTGTAAGATCTTTTGGTACATTATTTACTCCCTAAAAAGATCCCAGACTTAAGAGAGTCATAAGTTTCCTCTCCCACATATATCTCTATTAAGTATGGAAAATATTGTAATATTGTATATAATTAACTATTGTTTTTGACTAGGACTCCTGGAAGGCAAGATACATGTCTTATTCTTATTTATGATTCAAGCACTGAAATTAGTGTCTAGCACATAGCAACTACTCCAAAAACATTTACTAGATGACTGTCTTGCCTACAAGCCCAGGCCCCTCTATCCCCTTCAGCCACCTTATCTCCAATTAAATAAGCTCCAATTTCCCCTTAATTCATATTTCATTTTTGTCTAAGCCTCCGCTGCTGCCTTCCCATACTCTAAGTATAGACATTTATGCCCGGGCCCCATTCTGAGTCAATGTCCTGCTCCCTATCTTCTTGGTCTGCATAGCCTTATAGGCCGGGATCTGGCCCCAACACAGCCATGCTGAGTCATGCTGAGTCATGCTGAGGCTTAGGGTGTATGGCCAGATGTTCTCAGCCCTGTGTGATGACTGCTATCTGGGTCCCCAGCAGGAGGCTTACAGGACAGATGACAAGAAAGGAGAACTCCAGCCAGCATAATGAAGAGAGAGGGATACAGAGGCAGAATGTGACATGTCCTGGAATATACTCCCTTTGGATTTAAAACTGTATTTCTGGCCATCCCATAAATGCCATAGAATGATCAGCTGTTGTTCATCTAACAATCATCTTGCAGGTAGTCTTTCACACCAAGAAGCAGGAAAAAAAAAAAACCCTTATAACTACATGTGTATGGATTTTTAATTCACAAAATATACAGTCATTAATCAAATGTGATCAGAGTAATTAGAAGCATAAGACCTTTGCTAGTGAGATCCCTGACCCTTTCTTATGCACCGTATAACTCAGGACAGAACCTTTATATACAGTTTCCTCGTGTATATAAAGATGTGGCAGGGCTAGATGACTAAATAATTTTTCCAGGTCTCACCTTTTTAAGATTCCAGATACTGCACACCTACTTTGCAGTGTCCTGTAGGTAAGGACTGAGATATGAGGATGAAAGAGAGAGGCATGAAACAGAGGAAGAGGAAAACATTGTTCAGCATTTTAGGGTACCCCCAGACATCTGCTGACAAAGGCTCTGTGCTCTTAGAGGTCCCATGCTCACATGCTGGTCATGACTAGGGATGCCACTTGGGAACCCTCAACTTAAGGAAATATCTCAGGCCAGTCTTGGTGCTACTACTGTCATGGGAAAATGTCTTAACTTATAAGCCTCTGCTCAGCACCCAGGAGATGCTCGCAGTCTTCACATCACTTTGGGTAAAGTTCTGACGTGTGAGATATTTTCTGATTTTCCTACTTACCCTTCCACCATCTTCATTTTAAAGCAAGAATTCTGAGGCAGTTAGTGTGCTGAACAAAGGAACTGACAAAACTCAACATAAAGACTCTCCTTGTTCAGCTTCTAAATCCTCACACTGACATATACTCATATTCAGAAATAAACATGTACAAGAGCATGGGCATACACGTGTGCACACACACACAAAAGCACCTCCCAAATTCCACATCCTGTTAGAAAATCCATTTGGTGTTACTTTAAACATTTATTTACAGACTGACCCCTTGCTACCACCTGCATTGCTACCACCCTGGTGTAAGGCGTTATAATCTCTACCTGAACTCTTACTGCGGACTCCTAATTGATCTGTCTCCTTCTACAACTGCCACCGGACAGTGTCTTCCCAATACTGCAGCCAAAGCACACTTGTAAAAGTGTAAATCATGTATGGTAACCTCTTTGTCCAAAGGTCTCTGATAGTTTCCTGCATCAATCATAATAAAGTCAAATTTCCTACCATAACAATTTCCTACAATAACAACAATTGCCAACATTTTTTGGCACATACACACATATATGTGTGTGTATATATGTGCATGTTTATATGTGTATCTGTAAATATAGGTGTATATGTGTGTATATATATAACATATGTGCAGATATAATATGTATACATATATGTTTATAAATATATATATGCTTTTTCTTACAACTCTATGATACAGGTATTATTATTGTCACAAATTTTATAGATTAGCACCTCCACAGCCAGCACTTCTACTCTCCCTCTCAGTCTGCTCCTACATTGGCCTTATTTTCAATCCCTGAAAATTCTAAGCATCCTCCCACTTTAAGATACTTATATTTGTAATTCCCTATGTCTTAAACATTTAATCCATATGCAGTGGCTATTTATAATCTGTCGGTGTCTTCTCAAGTGTCCCCTTATAGTGAAGAAATCCCTACCATACATTTTAAAGTAGTAATACCCTTCCACCCTTGTCCCCATTAAACTCTATCCTTCATTCCAGTGTTCTTTTCCTCCATAGCACTTAACATCATTTGGCATATACCATATATTTTATTTGTTTATTTACTTATTGTTTCACTTCGCTTACTATCAACTCCATGAAAATGTTTTGTTTTGTTTTGCTTCTGTATACTCAGAACTTTTGCAGTATTGAATGAACAACTGAAGAGCAAACACATACATCTATCACTACAAAGACATATACACATACACCCACCGCTACACACATACCAAGATATACAGTGTAGTAATGCCAAAAGAGGTAATGCCAACTAGATGTATTTAGACCTCAGCAACCAGGACCTTGATCGAATTACTTAGTTCTAGGATGTGGCCCATTTGTCCTGTAGGCTGAGATTGACTCTTGAAGTCTTATTCTTGTTAAAATGAAAGGCACACAAACCTAAAAATAGAAACTTGTGTACTTATTTATCCATTTACATTGAGATTTATAAATTGAATACTCATGTCTTTGTGAGCAATACATCTTCTTTCCTTATATCAATCAAGAAAAAGTAGAGGAAACAAACTGTTCCAAAGCAAGCAGCTGGATACAATCATGCTAAGTAAGCATCTTGCCACTAGGCTCAGACATAGCTTATTCATCCATCTTCATGGGAAGGATAAGTTTGGCTTGGACATAAATGTTATGTGAGGTTCAAAACATCTCTAGATTCTGAGCCAACAGAGCAACATTCCTTTTCCTATACTTTCCTTGTTGGCCAACTCTCTAATGATTAATACACTTCTCTTTATACATCAGAACATTCCATAGATTATAATCTAACTATAATCATAGTTCAGAGCTTCTGGCCTGGGAGTCATTCTGTTTCTTTCAGGTGACTTTGAGTCTCTCTTTTTTATCACTAAATTTATTTTTAATAGCAATTGAAATTAGTGTGAGATTTGTTCCCCTATCCTTTGAGGTCTTGCATATTATCTAGTCACTGTTGCCTTCATATTTTGATAATACTCACATATTTGTACACACACACACACGCGCACACAAATATATTTTACACAGAGCATATTTATCAGGCATTTCTAAACAGTTAACCATGCAAGACCCCCAAACACTAACCCAAAATGTCTTTCACTTGTCTACTTGTATAAAAGCCAAGAAAGAACAGAGTCTTTGAAGCCAGTAAGAAAAGCACTTTGTCTTTCATTTCTTTAGCTAGTCCTCTTCTTTGCCACAGCTCTGTGTAGTCCTGAGCTCCTATCTAAGCTCACAGTTTCTGACCCCGCCCAGCTATCACCAGCCCAAGTCCCCAGAAGGAGAAAAACACTGGATCTGTCTACCTCTGTTAATTAAAAACAAACCAAAATAAAATAAATGCCCCCCCAACCCCCAGAAAACAAATGAATACACAGAAGAAGAAGAAGAAGAAGAAGGAGAAGGAGGAAGAAGAAGAAGGGGAAGGGGAAAGGGAAGGGAAAGAAAAACAAACAAAAACAAAACAGGTGCAGGAAATAACTGGTGACATTAATGCCTAAATGGGGCTGGAGTAGAGAGAAGGGCTACAGTAGCTTGTTGGTCTAGTAATCTAAGAGGTTTTCCTTTCCCTCAGAGATGCCTCAGACTCAGTAAGATAGGGGTTGTCAAATTTTGGTTTCAGAAGGAACCCTTCTGGGGCTAGAATTAGAAAAGGCTGAAAGGGTTTTGGGAGAGGAGTGATCATTAACTGCCCTCGCTAAGTCAAAGGATCCTAGTTTCTCATAATTCCTCATGGTAGATGATCTTGTTAATGGGTGGGATCTAACCATACTGCTTCCATTTAAGGCCTGCATAGTTACCAAACCTCAAATTTATACTGTTTGATAGATGCAGATTTTTTATTCAAGAAACATGCTATGCTATAGCTTCAGTATTGAGTATGCAAAGTACTGAAGATAACGTGACTAAGCAAAAAAAAAAAAAAAAATAGTCATTAACTTTTCGAAATTCAAAGTCATCAAGTCAAGGACTTCCCAATCTTGGGACACAGGATTCTAAGCCTTAAACCTAGAAGAATCTCATTTGAATCAATCGTAGGTAGAAATTTAAATATTGAGTTTACGTGTGCTTCAGAGCTACTACATATGAACAAAGTTTGTAAATTACTACTTGACTAAAGTCTTGAGTAAGATCCATGAGATATGGACCAATGAGCTATAGTAGTGTGGTAGAGGGAAGGAAGATTAGCAAGCACTGGCTCTAATGATAGTGTCATTCCTTCTAACTATTCAGAGCTGTCTTAGTTCATAGAATATACTAGGCAATACTATTTAAACAACATAAAAAACCAGGAATTTCTCAAAAATTTAATCATAAAAATAAATGAAGACAACTTTGCTTAAGGTCAAAAAGCATCAAGGGAGCCAAGAAAGTGAAGTTATAAAATGGGAATATGGGAAGTTTCTGACTTTTCTAAGTTGCCAGATTCCAGCTTTAACCTTCAAGGTTCATCGTGTAGACAAGTGTACAATAACTGGCTGGTTCTGCCTTTCCACTCCCTCTTCCCAGTGAAGATTCTTCTTGCTTAATTAACACTCACATGCATCTCTGGCTATGCCTTAGTCACAGTGGTCCCAGAGGTCAGTCAAACCATCAATGTCTGTGTTATAAGCCTCCAACAAAAGAAATGCCTCTGAGAATGAGACCCAGCTTGGGTTCACAGTCACCGGCAACCTTTGTGAGATATGATGCAGAGGCCCAGCGATTACAAAGCAGTAGTGTTGCTTGACCAGTGGTTGTGGTCTATTCTCTCATTCTTTGCAAGCATAACAGAAGATATTCATTGGCTCCCTGCATGGAAGCCATTAGAATTTCCTGCTACTCATGGCACACAATTTATTCTAGACTAATGCAACACTTAATAGGACTTTTATCCCATCTATTTCTGCTATAAGAAGATAAATTGAGATGTATAATGAAAGCAGACTAACTTATAGCTTCACTAATCAAGAATCCTAAGCAGCTTTTTTTGTACCTTCAATGGTTTATAGACCCAGTCCATAATTTTCCAATTTTAAAATTAAAAATAGAAAAAAACTCATTTGTGGTAGAGAATAACTTTTGAAGGATTTTTTCTCAGCTAATATTGGGAAAAAATGTAGTGGGATCAAAGACCTATTTTATCTATTAACAATGTAATTTATACAATCCTCCATACTAATCGCACCTAAAGATAATACAGTATTTGACTCACAGGATTAGTATATATGTCATAAATGAGCTAGCAAGATTTAAGGAAATATTTTATTTTTCTTTGCTAAAAAGAGGCATCTTACATCTTTCTTAAAATCCTGCGTAGAGTTTACCAAAGTACAAATGTCACAGGATATCCTAAGAGGCAGGAGTTAATCTTTAACAAATTTTGAAGTTTCTTTTAAAACTTTTCATTTAAATACCTTAAGAGATAACATTTTTATTTTATTAATTTTAATTTCTAGGCAATAAATGAATAATCTTAGTTTTTTCTTTTTTCTGACCATTTAATCTTTCTGATGTATCATGGATAATCACGTCATTTATCTCTCTAAACTTTGGGTTTTTCATCTAGGAAAAAGAGACAATAATCATGGTATTTCACAGGAGAAATAAATAAATACTTCAAAATGAGCAGCTGAGATAATTGAGCTTGAATCAACAAGCACCTAAGCAAAAATGAAAGTATATTCAGCTTAAGTGACTTCAGAATCAGAATTCATAAGCCTTGAACTGAGTTATAGACATGCTGCCTTTCAACCCTGTAACATTTCTTGAAGCCTTTTTCCACAACCTTTAGTAATAAGAAAGCAAGGGATGGGCCAGATCCTTGGAGGCAAGCCAGTTCTTTTCCCAAACGCTGTTATTAGAGAAGGCTATATGAGCCCTGAAATGGGTATAAGGGAGGAGAAGGGAGATCAACCCCACACTCTGAATTTAAGAGAAGCCTGGTGTCCACACTCTGAACTGGAAGGAGAATGGAACACATTCATACTGTCTGCTTCAGATGAGGTTTGTTTCCCAAACTCTTGGTCTTGTGCAGCCTGGTTCTTATTCCCTGGGCTTTGACAATGTCTGATCCTCATACCCAAGGTCTAAGGGAAGGGTCACTGTATTCACACTGTGGATCTATACAAATTTGCCTTGGAAACCTAGAACCCTATCTCTACTGATTAAAAAATCATCCGTAATTTTAAAAGACACATGCACCCCTATGTTTGTAGCAGCACTATGTACAATAGCCAAGACATGGAAGCAACCTTCATGTCCATTGACAGATGAATGGATAAAGAGATGTGGTACTTACATACAATGGAATATTACTCAACCATAAAATAGAATGAAATAATGCCATTTGCAGCAATGTGGATGCACTTAAAGATTATCATATTAAGTGAAGTAAGCCAGACAAAGACAAATATCATATGACATCGCTTATATGTGGAATCTAAAAAAATATGATACAAATGAACTTATATACAACACAGAAATAGACCCACAGACATGGAAAACAAACTTATGGTTACCAGAGTTTGGGATTAACATAAACACACTACTATATATCGAATAGATAAACAACAAGGACCTACCATATAGCACAGGGAACAATACTCAATATTTTGTAATAACCTATAAGGGAAAAGAATCTGAAAAGATATATATATATATAAAGCTGAATCACTTTGCTGTACACCTGAAAATAACACAACATTGTAAATCAACTATACTTAAAAATAAATAAATAAATAAATAAAACTCTTATTCGTACAAGGGCTATTCTTCACTGAGTAGCCAGATACTTCTTGTCCTTTCATTGGTCCTCTACTTCAGTGATCAAATGTCTTCTCTCTCAACCTAGAATTCTGTCATCCTAGGTTACATAGTCTAGCCCAGGGATTCTTTCCTATCTTTCTTAAGGGGGGAATAAGCTAAGAAACACTTGTGAAAGTCACAGCCCAGGAAAACTGGTCCACTGAAGGCTGATTTTTAATTATACAATTATAGATGGCTTCTCCTCCACCATTCCTTACCACTATATCAACAGGACTCCAGTATAATAACAGAGGATTGCAGCTGGAAAAGTTGCAAGGTACATAATCTATTTCATGATGATGTGTTCTTAGGGAAACCCAGAGCCAACAGGGACATCAAAATACAAAAGAAAACAAAAAATAAGGACACTAGAGAAACTTGAAGTCTCCTGAACTGATGGCTTCCACAAACATTAAACATACTCCAACTGCTAGCCTGTCATAACAATTCATCTACTCCTCAGTTTGATCACAAGTCCTGGTTTTAAATAATTTCAGACTCCTTAGCAGCCACGCTAGTATAAATAAGTACAGAAAATCAAGAAGAGCACTCAGGGCAATGTCTCCAGAGTAGACAGTTTCCCTTGCTGTCATAGAGAAATGGACAGAGAGAGAGTTCCCTGGAAGCACAGGATGTAAGCTTATTCTACCTGTTCTCTCTATGAAATAATCTTTGGTTATGTTACTTTGGGATTGAGGTCTTAGTTCTATTGTAGATCCCTTGCATTTCCATTCAGCTTCCTGAAGTAACCATGTATGTGTTTTGTCTCCCTTAGAAAACTAAAATCCAGAGCTTGGCTATAATCCACTCCTCAAGAGAGCTAAAACTGGCTGAGGTTCTGTGTCAACAATTGTATTTTTTTTTCTTGACTGTGTTTTTGTCCCTGTCACCATCTCACCATCCTTAACCCAAATATTAAACCTGGTTTGACTGGAACTCTGTCTTGGGCTTAGCTGCATTCTATGGGTCTTTCTGGGATAAGGAGAGTGGGAGAGATGGATGTCATCATGGGGGATGACATGGGGAGAGAAGAGGGTGAAAAGAGAGAATGAATGAAAAATTGTGTTGAGGATGGAGGAGGAGCCAACAAAAGAAGGATGTTTCAGGAACCAACACATTATCACAGACTCAATATACATCTTCCTTGCTGACCATTTCCTGACCTGACTCCACCCCTGAGGGACACAGCTCAGCCTTGACCAATGACTTTAAAGGATTAGGGGGAACAAAGGGCCAGAAGTTCAGCAGTAAAGAATAAAAGGCCACACCTTCCAGCAGCAGCACAGACTTGCTTCTGACACTTCTGTGATCACCAGTAAGCTTCAAGACCTGACCTCATGGTGCATTTTACTGCTGAGGAGAAGGCTGCTATCACTGGCCTGTGGGGCAGAGTGAATGTGGAAGAGGCTGGAGGCGAGGCTCTGGGCAGGTAGCAACTGGATTTCATGGGGGAGGATGGTGAATATGAGCCTGGTAAATTGACCAGGAAATTCTTCAAACTTTTCGAGTCACTGATTTTCTATCTGTTATGGTCTCATCTCATAGGCTCCTGGTTGTCTACCCCTGGACCCAGAGGTTCTTTGACAACTTTGGCAACCTGTCCTCTCCCTCTGCCATAATGGGAAACCCCAAGGTCAAGGCCCATGGCAAGAAGGTGTTGACATCCTTTGGAGATGCTGTTAAGAACATGGACAACCTCAAGGGCGCCTTTGCTAAGCTGAGTGAGCTGCACTGTGACAAGCTGCACGTGGATCCTGAGAACTTCAGGGTGAGTTCAGGAAATGGTCATGTGTTCTTTTTATGCTTTTTACTTTGGAATGATAATGGAAGTTGAGTCTTTGGTTGCAAAGACTAGCAAAGATCTCAGAAATCATAGATCAAAGTTGGTGTTAAGAGGGCAGAATTCCAGTGGACGTACCAAGAGCACCTTGATTCAGGACTAGTGACACTAAAGGGCTACTAGCCCTTTTAAGCCTGAGTTTGCTTAAAAGTTTTCGGGGACTTTTGTTAGAACTGGATTTGTTTACCCTAGAGAATATCAGAGAATAACAGACTTGTTCAAGGAGGAATGGAATCTGGGTTTTGGTAGATGAAAACCTGTCTCAAGGAAAGAGAAATGTCTTATTTTATGTGGCTCCTGATGATTGAAGCTTAGGAAGATATTTGGGAGAATAATTTTTAGGCAGATTGTCTCAAAGAAATATCAATCAATTCTCTAAATATATTAAATTACCCATCAATATTGGGACTAAGTGGAAGCTTATTCCTGCATTGGTTGGAGACTTTACTAAACTCACTCTAAGAACCTATGCAGCCCTGAAATCCTATGATGACAAAGATTAGACAATTGGTAAATGTGAGAGGGAGGGAGAGAGGCAAATAAAAATGGTGAAATGGGAGAGAGTGAGGGGATATAGGTAGACAGAATGTTGAATGGAGGACTCATAGAATTTAAATAAAATTTAAGAACTAGCTTATCAGAATTTATTGCACAGATACAAACCATGGAGCAGTTTACGATGTGGAGTTAGGAGTGGGTGTAGGTATTAAGCCATTATTTTCTGCAACTCTTTTAGGAAAATTCTACTCAACATATCTAATTGTCATTTTGTCTCTCACCTAACAGCTCCTGGGCAACGTGATGGTGATCATTCTGGCTTCGCACTTTGGCAGAGAATTCACCCCTGAGTTGCAGGCTGCTTGGCAGAAGCTGGTGGCTGGTGTTGCCACTGCTCTGGCCCACAAGTACCACTGAATTCTCCTTTCAGTTCACCATTTTTGGTCCCCAATGCCTTCCTTCTACACGTGGGGACTGGAGTTTGGCCTTGAGAGCCCGGCTTCTCTTTAATAAAGTACATTCTGTTCAGTGATCAAAAATTAATATTGTATCTTCTCCATCATTTACTCTTTTTTTAAATTTTATTTTTATATTTTTTTACATCTTTACTGGAGTATAATTGCTTTACAATGGTGTGTTAGTTTCTGCTTTATAACAAAGTGAACCAGTTATACATATACATATGTTCCCATATGTCTTCCCTCTTGCATCTCCCTCCCTCCCAACCTCCCTATCCCACCCCTCCAGGAGGTCAAAAAGCACCGAGCTGATCTCCCTGTGCTATGCGGTTGCTTCCCACTAGCTATTTTACATTTGGTAGTGTACATATGTCCATGCCTCTCTCTCACTTTGTCACAGCTTACCCTTCCCCCTCCCCATATCCTCAAGTCCATTCTCTAGTAGGTCTGTGTCTTTATTCCTGTCTTACCCCTAGGTTCTTCATGACATTTTTTTTCTTAACTTCCATATATATGTGTTAGCATACGGTATTTGTTTTTCTCTTTCTGACTTACTTCACTCTGTATGACAGACTCAAGGTCTATCCACCTCATTACAAATAGCTGAATTTCGTTTCTTTTTATGGCTGAGTAATATTCCATTGTATATATGTGCCACATCTTCTTTATCCATTCATCCAGTGATGGACACTTAGGTTGTTTCCATCTCCAGGCTATTGTAAATAGAGCTGCAATGAACATTTTGGTATATGACTCTTTTTGAATTATGGTTTTCTCAGGGTATATGCCCAGTAGTGGGATTGCTGGGTCATATGGTAGTTCTATTTTTAGTGTTTTAAGGAACCTCCATACTGTTCTCCATAGTGGCTGTACCAATTCACATTCCCACCAGCAGTGCAAGAATGTTCCCTTTTCTCCACACCCTCTCCAGCATTTATTGTTTCTAGATTTTTTGATGATGGCCATTCTGACTAGTGTGAGATGATATCTCATTGCAGTTTTGATTTGCATTTCTCTAATGATTAATGATGTTGAACATTCCTTCATGTGTTTGTTGGCAGTCTGTATATCTTCTTTGGAGAAATGTCTATTTAGGTCTTCTGCCCATTTTTGGATTGGGTTGTTTGCTTTTTTGTTATTGAGCTGCATGAGCTGCTTATAAATTTTGGAGATTAATCCTTTGTCAGTTGCTTCATATGCAAATATTTTCTTCCATTATGAGGGTTGTCTTTTTGTCTTGTTTATGGTTTCCTTTGCTGTGCAAAAAGCTTTGAAGTTTCATTAGGTCCCATTTGTTTATTTTTGTTTTCATTTCCATTTCTCTAGGAGGTGGGTCAAAAAGGATCTTGCTGTGATTTATGTCATAGAGTGTCCTGCCTATGTTTTCCTCTAAGAGTTTGATAGTTTCTGGCCTTACATTTAGGTCTTTAATCCATTTTGAGCTTATTTTTGTGTATGGTGTTAGGGAGTGATCTAATCTCATACTTTTATATGTAGTTGTCCAGTTTTCCTAGCACCACTTATTGAAGAGACTGTCCTTTCTCCACTGTACTTTCCTGCCTCCTTTATCAAAGATAAGCTGAACATATGTGCGTGTGTTTATCTCTGGGCTTTCTATCCTGTTCCATTGATCTATATTTCTGTTTTTGTGCCAGTACCATACTGTCTTGATTACTGTAGCTTTGTAGTATAGTCTGAAGTCAGGGAGCCTGATTCCTCCAGCTCCGTTTTTTGTTCTCAAGATTGCTTTTGCTATTCGGGGTCTTTTGTGTTTCCATACAAATTGTGAAATTTTTTGTTCTAGGTTCTGTGAAAAATGCCATTGGTAGTTTGATAGGGATTGCATTGAATCTGTAGATTGCTTTGGGTAGTATATCATTTTCACAATGTTGATTCTTCCAATCCAAGAACATGGTATATCTCTCCATCTATTTGTATTGTCTTTAATTTCTTTCATCAGTGTCTTATAATTTTCTGCATACAGATCTTTTGTCTCCATAGGTAGGTTTATTCCTAGATATTTTATTCTTTTTGTTGCAATGGTAAATGGGAGTGTTTTCTTCATTTCACTTTCAGATTTTTCATCATTAGTATATAGGAATGCCAGAGATTTCTGTGCATTAATTTTGTATCCTGCTACTTTGCCAAATTCATTGATTAGCTCTAGTAGTTTTCTGGTAGCATCTTTAGGATTCTCTATGTAGAGTATCATGTCATCTGCAAACAGTGACAGCTTTACTTCTTCTTTTCCAATTTGGATTCCTTTTATTTCCTTTTCCTCTCTGATTGCTGTGGCTAAAACTTCCAAAACTATGTTGAATAAGAGAGGTGAGCATGGGCAACCTTGTCTTGTTCCTGATCTTAGTGGAAAATGCTTTCAGTTTTTCACATTTGAGGACGATGTTGGCTGTGGGTTTGTCATATATTGCCTTTATTAGGTTGAAGAAAGTTCCCTGTATGCCTTCTTTCTGGAAGGTTTTTATCATAAATGGGTGTTGAATTTTGTCAAAAGCTTTCTTTGCATCAATTGATATGATCATATGGTTTTTCTCCTTCAGTTTGTTAATATGGTGTATCACATTGATTGATTTGCATATATTGAAGCATCCTTGCATTCCTGGAATAAACCCTACTTGATCATGGTGGATGATACTTTAAATGTGCTGTTGGATTCTGTTTGCTAGTATTTTGTTGAGGATTTTTGCATCTATGTTCATCAGTGATATTGGTCTGTAGTTTTCTTTCTTTGTGACATCCTTGCCTGGTTTTGGTATCAAGGTGATGGTGGCCTCGTAGAATGAGTTTGGGAGTTTTCCTCCCTCTGCTATATTTTGGAAGAGTTTGAGAAGGATAGGTGTTAGCTCTTCTCTAAATGTTTGATAGAATTCGCCTGTGAAGCCATCTGGTCCTGGGCTTTTGTTTGTTGGAAGATTTTAAATCACAGTTTCAATTTCAGTGCTTGTGATTGGTCTGTTCATATTTTCTATTTCTTCCTGATTCAGTCTTGACAGGTTGTGCATTTCTAAGAATTTGTCCATTTCTTCTAGGTTGTACATTTTATTGACATAGAGTTGCTTGTAGTAATCTCTCATGATCTTTTGTATTTCTGCAGTGTCAGTTGTTACTTCTCCTTTTTCATTTCTAATTCTGTTGATTTGAGTCTTCTCCCTTTTTTTCTCGATGAGTCTGGCTAATGGTTTATCAATTTTGTTTATCTTCTCAAAGAATCAGCTTTTAGTTTTATTGATCTTTGCTATCGTTTCCTTCATTTCTTTTTCATTTATTTCTGATCTGATCTTTATGATTTCTTTCCTTCTGTTAACTTTGGGGTTTTTTGTTCTTCTTTCTCTAATTGCTTTAGGTGCAAGGTTAGGTTGTTTATTCGAGGTGTTTCCTGTTTCTTAAGGTAGGATTGCATTGCTATAAACTTCCCTCTTAGAACTGCTTTTGCTGCATCCCATAGGTTTTGGGTCTTCACGTTTCCATTGTCCTTTGTTTCTAGGTATTTTTTGATTTCCTCTTTGATTTCTTCAGTGATCCCTTGGTTATTAAGTAGTGTATTGTTTAGCCTACATGTGTTTGTATTTTTTACAGATCTTTTCCTATAGTTGATATCTAGTCTCATAACATTGTGGTTGGAAAAGACACTTGATACAATTTCAATTTTCTTAAATTAACCAAGGCTTGATTTGTGACCCAAGATATGATCTATCCTGGAGAATGTTCCATGAGCACTTGAGAAAAATGTGTATTCTGTTGTTTTTGGATGGAATGTCCTATAAGTATCAATTAAGTCCATCTTGTTTAATGTATTATTTAAAGCTTGTGTTTCCTTATTTATTTTAATTTTGGATGATCTGTCCATTGGTAAAAGTGGGGTGTTAAAGTCCCCTACTATGAATGTGTTACTGTAGATTTCCCCTTTTATGGCTGTTAGTATTTGCCTTATATATTGAGGTGCTCCTATGTTGGGTGCATAAATATTAACAATTGTTATATCTTCTTCTTGGATCAACCCCTTGATCATATGTAGTGTACTTCTTTGTTTCTTCTAATAGTCTTTATTTTAAAGTCTATTTTGTCTGATATGAGAATTGCTACTCCAGCTTTCTTTTGGTTTTCATTTGCATGGAATATCTTTTTCCATCCCCTTACTTTCAGTCTGTATGTGTCTCTAGGTCTGAAGTGGGTCTCTTGTAGACCGCATATATATGGGTCTTGTTTTTGTATCCTTTCAGCCAGTCTGTGTCTTTTGGTGGGAGCATTTAATCCATTTACCTTTAAGGTAATTATCAATATGTATGTTCCTATTCCCATTGTCTAAATTGTTTTGGGTTTGTTATTATAGGTCTTTTCCTTCTCTTGTGTTTCTTGCCTAGGGAAGTTCCTTTAGCATTTGTTGTAAAGCTGGTTTGGTGGTGCTGAACTCTCTCAGCTTTTGCTTGTCTGTAAAGGTTTTAATTTCTCCATCAAATCTGAATGAGATCCTTGCTGGGTAGAGTAATCTTGGTTACAGGTTTTTCTCCTTCATCACTTTAAATATGTCCTGCCAGTCCCTTCTGGCTTTCAGAGTTTCTGCTGAAATATCAGCTGTTAACCTTATGGGGATTCCTTTGTGTGTTATTTGTTGTTTTTGCCTTGCTGCTTTTAATATGTTTTCTTTGTATTTAATTTTTGACAGTTTGATTAATATGTGTTTTGGTGTATTTCTCCTTGGATTTATCCTGTATGGGACTCTCTGTGCTTCCTGGACTTGATTAACTATTTCCTTTCCCCTATTAGGGAAGTTTTCAACTATAATCTCTTCAAATATTTTCTCAGTCCTTTTCTTTTTCTCTTCTTCTTCTGGAACCCCTATAATTCGAATGTTGGTGCATTTAATGTTGTCCCAGAGGTCTCTGAGACTGTCCTAAGTTCTTTTCATTCTTTTTTCTTTATTCTACTCTGCAATAGTTATTTCCACTATTTTATCTTCCAGGTCACTTATCCGTTCTTCTGCCTCAGTTATTCTGCTATTGAGCCCATCTAGAGTATTTTTAATTTCATTTATTGTGTTGTTCATCGTTGCTTGTTTCATCTTTAGTTCTCCTAGGTCCTTGTTAAATGTTTTTTGCATTTTGTCTATTCTATTTCCAAGAGTTTGGATCATCTTTACTATCATTATTCTGAATTCTTTTTCAGGTAGACTGCCCATTTCCTCTTCATTTGTTAGGTCTGGTGAGTTTTTATCTTGCTCCTTCATCTGCTGTGTGTTTTTCTGTCCTCTCATTTTGCTTATATTACTGTGTTTGGGGTCTCCTTTTTGCAGGCTGCAGGTTCATAGTTCCTGTTGTTTTTGGTGTCTGGTTTGTCACAGACCTTGTGAGGATAGACTAGGGATGTGAGGGGTTGGACATCAGAGCAAGGGATAACTGTTTTTAAAGTCAACTCCAAAGAACTCGTTGTGGGATTTACTAAAGAGCTGTCTGGTTAAAGTGATGAAAGCTGCCTAGGAATGTTAAATTGATTGCTGTTATCAGGAGAGAAATGTGTGCAAATTGGCTACAGCATTTATGAAGAGAGATCATTATAAACTGCTCAGAGAGAGTGATTATCTAAAAAGGGTGAGAGAAAAACAGGAGTTAGAGGTAACTTCCAGAACTGTTGCCTGGTTTCCTGGAAAGATGGGTGGTTATTCCATGACACTCAGAGTTGCAGATGCCCCTGAGTCTGGGGGATTGCAGGGTGCACATACTCTGCTGAAGATGGGGGTCAGGACCACCAAACAGCAAGTACCTGGATCCACCCCGGCAGGCCAAACCCACACCTGAGTGTGACTGGGATTCCTAGCTGTAGTCATAGGTCCCTCTTCTTTATTTTATTTCATTGACCTCTTATCTTGAAGCAAATTCTTTTAGCATTAATTCAAACTCTTTTCTTCATATCTCTGTACCAAAGTGCTCACATTAACATAGCTTGGGATGGAGAGCTCACAGATAATCATGTCTGTCATGGTAAACCAGCTTCCAGAAACTTAGCAATTCTTATCCACATTTTACATTTAAGTCTTTTCCAAGCTGAATAGATAAAAGCCTCTTGCTATATCAAATAGACAGAAAGGATTTATTTTCTAGTAGTAGAAATTCATCTATAATATACTGAATATATCGAGTTGAAGTCTTTAAATTTTAGAGTAGCTCTGTAAATACACATGGAGATTTTTTTTTATTATTATTATATGTATATATATTTATAAGATTGATCTCAGGGAGAAACAAACAAACCAGCTTTCTGGAGGTCAAAATGTAGGAAAACAAATTCTGAAATAAAGAAACAAAATGAACCATTCCCTCTCCCACTACAAGTGTGCCTTTTCTAGTCCTGTAAATGCTTATTTGGATGCGTGAGACCAAAGTACCTTAGATCACAGTGGCAGTGGTGTGTGGAGTACTGTCAGTGAAGATTGCCTCTGCCTGATTAGATATGAAGAAACATTACACACAGCCAGAGTGTGGATTCAGCACACAAGAGACAACTCCATTATTCTATAGCCATTGCCAAAGAGAATTCTAATACTCTCTTCACTGAACACAGGAACACCTATTTCCCCAACAGCCAGTTGTGTATTCTCTGATACAAATGCATAGATATATGTATTGGCCAGAGACACTTGTCCATATAATCAGAGTGAAAAAAATTATTCAGGCAAGTGCATATATTATTGGTAGAACTCAACAACAATGGGGTGGTGCTCAATTTTTCTCTAAATTACCCAGTTCTTACCTATCTTATTTCTAAACAGATTCTGGATTGAGGTCTTTTTTCTTGGTTACAAGAACTATAAAATTATGAGTCCCATATAAGCTTTAGAAGCACTGGTAACCAAGAAGAGCTGTGACTTCTTCTATACCCTGGCTGAAGAGCAGAACAATGTCTTGTAAACACCTGATACAATGCTGAACAGAGTTCTAATTGTTACTCTTCCTAATTCTGTTTATGCCTTATGGTCAATTCAGGGATGGTGGCAGGGAGCTTGAGATATGAATTGCATGGTAGATGGTAGGAGAGAGGACAGCAGAATCCCCCTGATAGAGCCACACAACATTATCAGAGACACAAATGTCCATCTAGCTGACCCTCCCTTGCCCAAGGCCCACCCCTGGTGGTGACAACCCACCTTTGAAAAATAGTCTCATTTTATTGGGAGAAGTAAGGGCCTGGGGACAAGAGATGAGGAATAAAAGGCCATGCAGAGAAGCAGCAGCACAGACTTGCTTCTGGCCCATTAGTGATCACCAGTAAGCTCCCAGACACCATGGTGCGTTTTACTGCTGAGGAGAAAGATGTTGTTGCAGCCTGTGGGCCAAGATGAATGTAGAGGTGGCTGGAGGTGAGAGCTTGGGAAGGTAAGCACTGGACACAGGTAGGACAGGGGGCAGAAAGGCAGAGATTTTTCCAGAAAGACGGATTGGTCAGGTTTCTTACATACTCTGACTTCCCATCTGCTCTGTGACTATGACCATCCCATAGGTTCCTGGTTGTCTACCCATGGACCCAGAGGTTCTTTTACAGTTTTGCTAACTTATACTCTGAGTCTGCGATAATGGGCAACCCTAAGGTCAAGGCCTGTGGCAGGAAGGTGCTGACCTCCTTTGGAAATGCCATTAAACACATGGACGACCTCAAGGGCACCTTTGCACATCTAAGTGAGCTGCACTTTGACAAGCTGCATGTGGATTCTGAGAACTTCAGGGTGAGTTCTGGGCATGCTTGTGCTTTGTTCTTTCATCCAGGTATCTGTTTTGTGGTTACAGTAGGGAACACAGGTTCTTAAGTCTTACCGTATAGAGGTATATTTTGGAGGTAATATTTCAGGAAAAAGCTTGATTTTGGTAGTTAGGTTGTTCCTAAGGTCAAAGGTAAGACCAAGTAGAGTAATTAATTATGCCATGACCAGTGGAGGCCACTGGCCATCTGATATTTCTTAAAAATAAATGTCGTGAAGAGCACTGGACAAAAGTGAGCTAAATAGTTTGGCCTGGAGAATACAAATTGAGCCAGGGAGAAGAACACCTTGCCTTTGATAACTGAAATTTTCTATAAAAATCGATGAACACATTTCTGCATGGTTCTTGAGCTTTGAACCAGGAGTAAGCAGGGCAAAGTAAGAGCGACTTTTTCATGGTTTGCCCCTCCTCCTCTCAAGTCCAGCAATGATGAAATGCTCTTGTATACAAAGCACTGGATTCTTTGTCAAATGGGTGTCCAAACAATTTGAATGTATGCAATATCTGAAGACTTAGACTATGTGTATCAAGCCCCAGCACTATAATCCTACTTTTAAAAAATGAGAGAAGCAATCCATAGCAATGCTCTGGGGTTGGAAGTTGGCAGGGAAAATGAGAGAAGGATAGAACACATTGGGGGTTCAGGACTGGGAGTCACTGAAGCCAATGTCAAGCGTATAATGATGCACTTTTGTGGGAGCATGACAATGAAAGTTGCTCAACCTTTTATCAAGAAGGAAATGGATGTTATATCTATTTGCTGTAGGGGCAGCTTGAGACCTTCTGTTCACTATGCACTATCTTCTTTTTATTCCCAGCTTCTAAGCAACATGATATTGATTGTCTTGCAACCCACCTCAGCGAGGAATTTACCCAAAAGACACAGGTTCCCTGGCAGAAGCTGACAGAAGCTGTGGCTAATGCTCTGGCCAACAAGTACCAGTAGTTGCCTGGCCATCTATGTTGGTGCCTACCTGAGGGCCCTGGGTCCCAACAGTCCATCTCCTGAAGGTGGAGGGAGAGAGCCCTGCCTCCAGACTTAACTCCTATATAATACAAATAAAATAAAAGTCATGCTCTGTAAGGAATATCCTTGTATTTTCTCTCTGTCTTTATCTTTTATAAGTTGATTCAGCTAAAAGAAAGCACTCCTATTGTAATGAGAATATTGGAGATTGAGAGTTTGGGGATGATAGAGAAGGGACCCTTATAAGATTCTACAGGATTAGAGTGGCTTCAAAGGGTAATTACTCCTACGAAGGGAAACTAGACTCTTGAGTTGGACAAGGTCTTTAGAAAAAGGAAGGAAATGGAATTACTCTTGAGAGATGCAAAATGATTATTGATAGTGAGTTGTTAGGACACAAAGTAGGGGACCTGTATAGGCTGTTATTTGTATAAACTCAGAATAGAGTTCTTTTTGGACTATAGCTCAGTTCTATTTAATATAAGAAACATATTTTTAGCAGCTATAATGCAGTGAAGATGGTACTTTTTAGAGACCCAGTTAAGGACTCTGCTCTCAACTTTTTCCTAGCATCTTCAATGGTACTAATGAAGGCAACATCCCTAAAGCATATGAACTGGAAGCTTTGGTTTGAATCTGTCATCACCTGGTAGCTCTTGACCTGAAACACATTTCTAATTCTATTGGTAGAGATAAAGGCCATTTATGAGGGAAAATGACAAATTCAAGAATCAGCATGCGAGGTCTAATTGACAGAGGAGAAACTGGCCCATTAAAAGCAGTGGGGTTTTATAAAATTAGAGAATCTGCTAGAGAGACCAGAAAAAGAAGGAAAAGAAGCTATTGTTGCAAACAAAATTACCAGTGAGGTTTCTTGCACACCAGAGTGACATAATCAATAGGGTATTTTAGGGAAATTGATCCATGTGTGGGCATAGACTTGACAAGGCAGAATCTACCCTGAATCTGGGCGTAGGAATTTGCTGTGAGTATAATGAAGTGATAGGTAAAAGACTAAACTTGACAGAAGCAGTGGTACTAAGAAAAAAATCAAATAAAGGACCACTGTGGCAAAGATGCTGCAGGACTTGAAGCATAGTGAAATAGAGAGTGGAGAAGTCATGGAGGATAGCCAGGTTCCCTGTCTAGTGAATGCAAAGAGGAAATCTATTGACAGAAGAAGAAAAAACCTAGATGTCTCTTACTTAGAGCTGGCAATGGGCATAGCCACCTGTGTAAAAATCACTTCAAATTTCTGTACTGAAGTCCCTGGCATAAAGTGAAAAGCCAGGGCTTTTGGATTAACAGACAATGTCAAATTATTGCCCCATTGGCTTGAAACATTTAGTTAACATTTTTCAGAATTAATTTCCTTGTTTGTAAATGGGATAATTATCCCTAACCCCACAAATACATTCCAAGGTTTCAAGGAGATATTTGTAAAGTGTATTGTCTGTCATTTTTGAAAAGGTAGTGGTAGTGGTTTATATGATGCATTATGATCTGTTCCTCTGTGCCCTGCTGTTTTTTTTTTTGCGGTACGTGGGCCTCTCACTGTTGTGGGCTCTCCCGTTGCGGAGCACAGGCTCCGGACGCGCAGGTTCAGCAGCCATGGCTCACGGACCCAGCCGCTCCGCGGCATGTGGGATCTTCCCGGACCAGGGCACGAACATTGGCATTGGCAGGCGGACTCTGAACCACTGCGCCAGCAGGGAAGCCCTGTACCCTGTTTCATTGTATATTCTTGAGCTGATTGCATTATTTCTGAGCTTCAGAACTAGATATCTAACTATTTGCTTAATATCCCATTTTTGGATTGCTCAAAAGTACAACAAATACAGTATGTCCAAGACTGAACTCTTGATCTTTTCCTAATTTACTCCTGCTAACTGACGCTTCTTTTTGTGTTCCCCTTCTTAATGACTATCCCATCATCAATTGCTCAAGCCTGAAAATAGAGATGTTTTTACTTCCCTCCCTAATACAACATCATCCTATTTGTCTCTCATTTATTTTACCCCCATGTCCACTGAAGCCAAAATAATACAAATCAAATCGTGCCGCTCCAGTCCTTGAATTTTTCAAGTTTTATTTGACTTTCAGGTTAAAGAAAAAGAAACTGTAACATAGTGTAAAGATCGTTCATAGCAACTTCCTATCATATAACATTCCCCCCTGGTCATCTGAATTAGAGTCACACTGTCCATCTTTCTATATATAAATCATATAATTTGGATTATTATCCCTGGTAATTTTTAATCAACATTATGTTGTACAATTAATCTGTATTACAGCATGTGATACAGATTCTTTTCATTGTTGTATAATATTTCATTCTTTTACCATAGTATAATTTATCTATTCCACTAAATGAGGAACAATTAAGTTGCTACTGAATTGAGATTCTGAGGCATATTGATGTTACAAGCATTCCTATACATGCCTTTGGATGCACACAAGCAAGCATCTCTGTATATCTAAAAGTATAATTGCCAGGTCATAGGTGCTGCATATATTCTGCTTCAGTAGACACCACCAAATATTCTCAAAAGCAATTATACTGTTTTACACTATCGTTAGCAAAGTATAAAAACTTTTCTTTATCTACAGCCTTGTGAAATTTTCGAATTGTCCATCTCTCCTCTTCTTTATATTCTTTTCCCTCCTCCTTCCCTCTCATTCCATTATTTTCCCTTCTCTTACTCCTTCCATTCCCTCCGTTCTTCCCTCCTTCCTTTGTGCCTCCCTCCCTCCCTCCTTCCTCCCTCCCTCCTTCCTTCCTTCTTTCCTTCCTTCCTTCCTTCTTTCCAGCTATGCTGGTGGGTATATATTTGTATACCATTGTAGTATTATTTTCAATTGAGAAAAGAGTGAAATTCGCTTTGAATCTTCATTCCTGGGTCCAACTCCACTTTTTTCTTGAGGACCCAGCTGTGGAAATTTCTGCACTTGGCGTTTTCCCAGAAACCCTGTTAGACTTTAACAGGCTGAATAAGATAAATCTTGTTTGCAATTCCTTTGCATTCTCTCTATTCACATCATATATTTAAGTACTTATGCAATAGGTATCACATCTTTTTCTTTATTTCTCATTAAATTGTTCCATTATAATGCATGCTCCCCAAACCTATTTCAGTAGGTGGTAGAGAGACAATATTTATTACTTTTCTTTCACTTAATGGACATTTATTTCAATGAAGGGATGGGAAAGGAAAGAATTTTGTGACCCAAAGTATTATACAAAGGAGAAAGAAAGTTAAATCTATGGCAAAATATTTATCTACTCCAACCACTTATAAACATATCTAGAGACAAAGTGAAGCTCCATATAGAGTCAACTTCATAAAATTTTTGCTTTCTAGGTTTCAGTTTTCTTATGTATGAATTGAAAGAGTTGGATGGGTTAAACTGTAAGATACATTCCACAATGTTGACTAAAACATTTATGCATAAATGAGACTGGCAGTATATTTGTAGAAGCTACTGATGAAGGAAATGAAGCTGGGAGGTAAGTACAGGGAGAGCAGGGTTTCTGAGTCCCGACACACTGGACCAGACAATCACAGATGAAGGGAACTGAGGAACAAGAGTGCATCTCACATTCCCCCAAACCAATGAACTTGTGTTGTGCCCTGGGCCAATCTGCAGGGAGGGCAGGAAGCTGAGTGGGGCTTAAAAGGAAGAGCAGGGCTAGCGGCTGCTTACACTTGCTTCTGACACAACCGTGTTCACTAGCGACATATTTGTAAACAGTTTCCAGACTGAAGCCAAGATTCTGCCTCTAAAGATGTACAGTTCCAGATTTAACTTGGGAGAGACTGTCCCTTTGCTCTTGATATGTCAGTACCATAGCCCACTTATGAGGTAAACAAAGCTAATTCTGAATGAAAATCTGAGCCCAATAGAGGAAGTATTGATAAGGAAGCTACTAACTGAGACATTAACTGTTCTGTAATAATTAGAATATAATTCCTTTATCAAAGTTATGGTTATACTGAATTTTTTGTTTTATAGACAGAAATATGACTTTGTTTCTTTTTAAATGAGTTAAACCATACTATTCTTAAACTATTCTGTGTGTATGACCTCTGTTTCTATGAGTTCTGCTCTTCACGGAGCATTTTTGTTTTATTTAATTGTATTTATTTAATTTAGTTTTAATTGATTTTGTTATATTTTATTTTASTTTATTATTTTTGGAAGAATGCCAAAACTGTGGTAACTAAGATATTGTGTATCTGGGAGTGGAGTAAATAATAACTGCTTTACCCAGAAAAATATAGATTAGATTGCTGAAATGGTCTACTTGGGGAATTAAAATTGAACACTAGAGCATGTACAAAAGAGTTCTAACTGAAAAGTAATTTTTGAAACAGATGATAAAACCACACATCTCTGGATGAATGTCATAATTATATTATATTATAGGGGCACAGTTTGTGATGAGACTGAAATATGCTGAGTCCAAGCTGGGTCCCTCTATAACCATGCCCTTGTTTCTCGACTCTTCCACACAGCTCCTGGGCAACGTGCTGGTGGTTGTGCTGGCTGAGAACTTTAAAAATGAATTCACCCTGGAGTTGCAGGCTGCCTATCAGAAGGTGGCGCCTGGTGTGGCTAATGCCCTGGCCCAAAATTACGACTAAGCTCCCTTTCCTGATTTTCAGGAAAGACCTTTTTGTCCTCAGAGCCCAAAATCTGGATACAGAAAAATAAAGAAGAGTTTTGAGCATCTGGTCTCTGCCTAATAAAAACATTTATTTTCATTGCACTGGTGTATTTAAATTATTTCACATCTCTCACTCAGATGTTTCTCACACGGGAGGGCAGGCCTTTTAAGTCATAAAAAAATAAGGGGCTAGTTGAGACCTTGGGAAAATATATCTGTATCTTGGACTCCATGACAGGAGTTGTTGTAAACAGCTAATATAAGTGGAAAACAGACTCTGCTGCTTATTCTTACTTTCCCTTAAAGAATTCAAGTTGCAGTTTGATTTGGGAGTTAGATCATTGCTATGTTTTATTTAAATCAATTATTTTATTTAGCCTTCCTTGTAAATGTCTTCTCTCTCTTTAATTGTCCAGAACCTAACAGCCATAATTCCACTAAGTTCTTCTGCCTAAAGACACCACTGTTCTTCTAAGATTTTCCTTATGTATTTTACTGTCCTTATTGCTCCTCCTCCTTTGACCGCTCTTATCCTAGTTTCCTCTGTCGTCTTATAAAGATCCGCATGAAGGACAGAAACCAGGGGGAGGTAGATTTGCTACCTCTTCCCTTGTATTGTAATACTGTGATAAATATAGGACTGAAGACAGTGTAAAAAGGGGCTTTTGTGGCTTGATATTCACTGCTGTCTTGTAATTCTTTCATGGTCTTACACCAAAAGGAATTCCATTCTCCTCAAGATGGTTTAACATCTACATCCAGGAAGTGATTGGAGGTCTGCTCTCTTCCTTATCCTGTCTCTGATGGTTTCTCTGCCTTTGTAGTTATTAACATAGTGTTACCAGCAGCAACACATGCCAATTTAATTTTATTATTCAATAGCCACTTATGTGGATGCTTGATTCTGGAAATAATATATGAATTTCAAGTAATCCTCGTCCCCTGCTGCATCTCAATTCTGAATCTAGTTGGGAAGATTCTGAAGGTAATGCATCTAACAAGTGACTACAGATGAGTGTGTACAAGGCTTTATGAGATCAGAGAGTGAAGCTCTTGGTATGAAATGGGTGATAAAGATAAGTAGATACTTGTCCAAAAGAGAAGAGGAAAAAAAACCAGAAAAGAAAGGGAGGATAACATATGCCAAATCATCGATGAATAATGTGTTTGTGTATTCTGAGAATTTCAAGTAAATTGGAAAGAGAATTGAAGCAAAACTGCCTGGAATGGAATAGAATAGAATAGGCTATGAATATGAATTTGAATAGAAGAGTATATGAATTTTGGTGAACACTGTGGGGGATATATTTAAAATGAAAAACTCACAAACAAGAGGATACAGTCTCATTATTCATGAGATGCTTGCACTGCTAATTGACATGTAAAGTAAGATAGTATAACAGTTCAGAACATAATTTTGAAATCAGACAGCCTGGATCGAAAAAAAACTCTACTACTTATTAGCTCTGACTTTGTGAAAAATTAGCTAACTTTGCTGAACTTCATTTTTCTTACCTGTAAAATACCCAAAATGATATCATTCTTATGGTGTGATTTTAAGGATTAAATGAGATAAAGTGCACAAAAAAGTTCATTGCAACATCTGGCACTTCACATTGCCTGACACACAGCTCAGCAAATGTAAACTAAATAGCATTTTTGTTATAATTATTATGAATAATATGGGTAGAAGTGGCATCATTGATACCGATGATGATACCTGAAAGAATTGTCTCATTAAAGAGAAAAAACATAACCAAAAATATTGTTATTTTAAAAATTTGTTTATTTATTTATTTATTTTTGGCTGCGTTGGGTCTTCGTTGCTGTGTACGGGCTTTTTCTAGTTGCAGCGAGCGGGGGCTACTCTTCATTGTGGTGCACAGGCTTCTCACTGCGGTGGCTTCTCTTGTTGTGAAGCACGGGCTCTAGGTGTGCGGGCTTCAGTAGTTGTGGCTTGTGGGCTCTAGAGTGCAGGCTCAGTAGTTGTGACTCACGGGCTTAGTTGCTCCACAGCACGTGGGATCCTCCCGGACCAGGGCTCGAGCCTGTGTCCCATGCACTGGCAGGCGGATTCTTAACCACTGCACCACCAGGGAAGACTAGAAATATTATTTCTTGTCTGGTACAAGCCATGCCCCATTCCCCAACCTCTTACATTCAGTGATATGTGTGATTTGTTCATTCCTAAATAGCCACAGCTGAATGTACAAGTTGGGGTCCAGCTGGGAGAAAGAAATCACATTGTTAATTATAACAAGAGATTGGAGAACTGGAAGACTGATTACTGAGGAGTAAAGAGGACTCTAAATCGCTAAGAATAGAAGATATAGGAAGCAGGCACTGTTCCTAGTGCTGAGATAGAACATTCAAGTAAGGAACAATATGAGAGAGGTCTTTTCCCCAGATCTCTTGAGACAGAGCATGCCCAAGGCTCAATGCATGGTTGAAAAAAATTTCAGGCTGCAAAGCTACCTGAAGTGAGGTACATAGGCATCCATCTATTGGGAAGTGCCATGTCAGCAGCATTTATTGAAAATCTGTTCCCTGGGGTGCCAGGGGCAGCCACCCAGGAGGAGGAACTGCACCTCAGATGTTCCTATGAAACTGCCTGGGGGTATAACAGGAGAAATGATTCATGAGAAAATTCCAGAAAAGCAACACTGGATTACAGAATTACTCCTGGGGTGTCAGAGGGAGCCATTTACCGCAGTCCACCGCTGCAAAGCCATGTGTGTTGCTGGAAGCTGGCCCTGGAGAAGCTGAGCACCTTGCTGAAGCCTGGAGCTGTACAGACAGAGATGGTTGCAGCATCCTGACTAGAGAATCACAGCAGAACTAGGAAGAGAATCCCCTTCCTCCTCCAGTGCCTCTCCAGAACACTCTACTAACAAAACTTAACATCGTGCCAACTTGAAAAGGAGAGCTTCTATCAGAGTCTACATCCATCATCACAATATGGGCAATTAAGAGTGGATTAAGAATTAAGAGACAATTGATAACTGACACCCCCCCACCCCGCCACTGGCCTACACTAAATGCTTGTGTCACTTAGAGTACATAGGGCAATATGTGAGAAAAATGCAATTAGGACTAGCAAATGATAAAGCAGTGCTTAGAAGATTAAGAAATTAGTAAAAGAAGTAGGGCAGACTTTATCATTGTTTGGATTAACAATTTCTCCTCTGTATAAATTTGATATATTTTTCAACTTGTTCAGATTCTGGGCAAACAAAAGGAGTATGTATTCTGTACTCCCATATCCAAGAGAAAGATTGTATACATTACTTCCACTGTTCTGTTTCTGTTTCAGTGACGAGCATAATGATGATAATTTTGAAATTCAAGCAGAGTCTTACTTTATAGCAGATTTTCAACACCACTCTGTAAAAGGTTTACTTTTATTTTTTCAATATATCCTTCAACCTTACATTGTTATCACTTCTAATGTAATTAGAAACTGTTTATGTATCCTTGTAAAATGCACAATGATTTTATGTAATTTATACAAATTGAATTTTCCTATAAAATATCATTTTTGCTTGTTTCTCTCACTCAGTATATTACATGAAAATTCAGTTGAATTGTTTTGGAAGTTTTAGCCACAGCAATCACAGAAGAAAAAGAAATAAAAAGAATCCAAATTGGAAAAAAAGTAAATCTGTCACTGTTAGCAGATGACATGATACTATACATAGAAAATCCTAAAGATGCTACCAGAAAACTACTAGAACTAATCAATGAATTTGGTAAAGTAGCAGGACACAAAATTAATGCACAGAAATCTCTTGCATTCCTATACACTAATAATAAAAAATCTGAAAGTGAAATTAAGGAAACACTCCCATTTACCATTGCAAAAAAAGGATAAAATACCTAGGAATAAATCTACCTAAGGAGACAAAAAAAACCTGTCTGCAGAAAACTATAAGATACTGATGAAAGAAATTAAAGATGATACAAACAGATGGAGAGATATACCATGTTCTTGGATTGGAGGAATCAACATTCTGAAAATGACTCTACTACCCCAAACAATCTACATATTCAGTGCAATCCCTATCAAACTACCACTGGCATTTTTCACAGAACTAGAAAAAAATTGTTCACAATTTGTATGGAAACACAAAAGATCCCGAATAGCCAAAGCAATCTTGAGAAAGAAAAACAGAGCTGGAGGAATCGGTCTCCCTGACTTCAGACTATACTACAAAGCTACAGTCATCAAGAGAGTATGCTACTGGCACAAAAACAGAAATATAGATAAATGGAACAGGATAGAAAGCCCAGAGATAAATTCACAAACATATGATCACCTTATCTTTGACAAAGGAGGCAAGAATATACAACAGAGAAAAGAAAGCCTCCTCAATAAGTGGTGCTGGGAAAACTGGACAGGTACATGTAAAAGAATGAAATTAGAACACTCCCTAACACCATACACAAAAACAAACTCAAAATGGATTAAAGACCTAAATGTAAGGCCGGACACCATAAAACTCTTAGAGGAAAACATAGGAAGAACACTCTATTACACAAATCACAGCAAGATCTTTTTTGATCCACCTCCTAGAGAAATGGAAATAAAACCAAAAATAAACAAATGGGACCTAATGAAACTTAAAAGCTTTTGCACAGCAAAAGAAATCATAAACAAGATGAAAAGACAACCCTCAGAATGGGATAAAATATTTTCAAATGAAGCAACTGGCAAAGGATTAATCTCCAAAATTTATAAGCAGCTCATGCAGCTCAATATCAAAAAAACAAACAACCCAATCCCAAAATGGGAAGAAGACCTAAATAGACGTTTCTCCAAAGAAGATATAGAGATTGCCAACAAACACAGGAAAGAACGATCAACATCATTAATCAATAGAGAAATGCAAATCAAAACTACAATGAGATATCACCTCACACCAGTCAGAATGGCCATCATCAAAAAATCTACAAACAATAAATGCTGGAGAGGGTGTGGAGAAAAGGGAACCCTCTTGCACTGTTGGTGGGAATGTAAATTGATATAGCCACTATGGAGAACAGTATGGAGGTTCCTTAAAACACTAA